CATTGTGGAGTTTGTAGGGAAGTGTATACCCTGCCAAACAAGAAATTTGAAAAAGCGCCAACCTTGTATGCAGGAGTACAATATGCCAGCTTTTCCTTTCACTAAGATAGCTGTTGTAGAGTATCACTCTACCAGATTGCCTGGCTCATAGCCTTAAATAGTCTATGATTGAGGACTTCAATAGTTGATTAATAAGTTGATACTAAGCTGATTAATATTTGGACTGATCTTACTTTGTTTGGCTATACAGCATTTGACCTGCCTCAATTCCTTGTAAGCTGTCTTGTTAATTGTTTTCTAACTTATCAATCTGTGTTTATTGTATGTATCCATTAGCACCAGATACAGGTGCTGAATAAATATATTAAGCACTCATCCTTCTCTGTGTATCATTCACCTCAATGATACAACAATATGTATTTTCAGACCTTACCCAGAGATCCTATCAAGAAACCAATACATGGTTACTTTCATCTTCATGTAATCAGGCTGGCCTGAAGCATTTGCTGTAGTAAAGAAGAAGGCTCAGATGATGGCCCATTTATTAGTAGATGAAATATTCCCTATATTTGGTGCCCCTCTTCAATTAGTAATAGATAATGGTACAGAGAATGTTAATAAAGATATGAAAGAAAGAGTAGGTTTAAATATACACCACATGATGACATCGTTTTACCAACTACAAAAAAAAAAGAAAAAATATCAATGAACAATTTTGTGAGTTTGCCTCAGGACAAACAGAAAGACATTTCCAAATATGTAGAAGGTAGAATGGTTGCATAGGACAATACATGATAATTTATCAATAAAAAAAATTACTAATAATGATAGATCATGAGATTTATATGCACACAGCAATTAGGTTTAACATTAGTGAGATGACAAAATTCTCACCTTACTACACAATAGGGACATCGTTCTGCTGCTAGATAATATGGCCACATGGGAAAGCTGAAAATATTTCTGGCTATGTCATCTTTATTATGGAAATGAAGCCCACAACATTGCACTACCAGAAGAACATCATGCATTAACACTAGTTAGAAATAATCTGAGAATGACTCAGATAACAAATACCTAGAAAATAATACAATTTGGAAGATAAGTCAGATATTCCAATAATGAAACGTCATATTGGGATATGTCAAAGGAGAACAGAAAAAATAAAAATAGCTTCTTCGGTTCAAATAGTAATGAGGATATGAAGGTATGTGTGACTAAAATGGAGAAGGATTTTGGTAGGTATTAAGGTGACAACATGATGAGAGTTCTGACAAGGACCATATTAGTAATAATCATGATAGGGTGAAAGAAAGTAGATGAACCCCATAGATATGGGTGTATGATAATCACAGTGACCTTGATTCAGCCAACCTTTAACCCCTATTGTATTTTGAGAAAAGAAAGGAGGAAGAAAATGGTGAGCATATACAAAAATCTAGTAGGAAGGGTGAGAACTGGGCAACTAGTGTTGGAAGGAAAGTCACGTGTAATATAGACGACAAAAGTAGGAAAAAGAAAGATATAAAGGACTTAGTTAATGCACTCACAGAAATGAAACTACATTCTATCATTCAAGCATAATTAAGCCAAGTAGTTTTAAGAGATGTTGTAATGGAAGGTCCCACACTCCCTATCACCTATGTGGACTGACTATATCAGTAGCCATATATAGTGAGCACAGGATATACCTGGGGGAATTATTAGCCTGCCACCCAATCCCCTGTTTTTCAATTGTGTATTTTCTTTTACAATAAACCTGTCTTCTTTCATCTACATGCATGTTGCTGTTCCTTTACTCAAATACTATCTTTGCCTGTTTGTAACCTCTTTAAGGATACAACAAGAGATAAAAGCAGTAAACCTTAAGAAAAAAATAGTTTTTTGTGAACACAGTGAACAGCAAGCACTCCCAACTAGTACACATTAACTGTGAAATGAAGACATATACAAATAAATTATTGTTTTAAAAAAAAAGGAAAAAATATCAATGAACCATTCTGTGATTTTGCCTAAGAACAAACAGAAAGACATTTCCAAATACCCATGCACCTTTTTACAGAGAGACTAAGCAAAAAGAAATATGTAAGTCACATGCACAGCTTTGAGCAATTGCATTTTTATGTTCCTGCAACAGGTGACATAAAGAATGACACACTAGTAGAATAAGTTGCATGAAATTACTGAACATGAGAAATCGACTTTGTGGGGTGCTGAGGATACCAACACCCAGTAGAACCTAGAGGCAGTGTCTACACCATATGCAATTTATGTGAGTGTTGGTGGAAGGATAATTGTCATGTTTTATATTATTGCACATTTCTGTAAAAGTTTATCTGTGGTTATATCATATGTCTGAATATATGTTTTGTTATTTTGTATAATATTTCTTTTGACTCATGTATATGACACTGGTCCTGGAAGCATAGTGAGAGATGGACAAATAAGCCACAAGTTGCACTTGGCAATCATTTATAATACATATTACTATGTATTTTAAAAAAGAAAAAGGGGAAGTAATGTTACAGAATGTGAAGGCTAGAGCCAGAATTGTCAGCGATTGACCAGAGCGACTTGTGTGCAGGGCATTCTGACAGTGATGGATTGTCTTTCTCTGGGTTTTGAATATAAGTCCAAAATGGTGTGGATTCAACAGAGGGTCTAGAGAATTCTGATGCATCAATATGCATCCCACACCCAGGTTTGCAACCAGCTAATACCTCACATGGAGGGATGCTGAGCCAACATATGACATTGTTATAAAATAAAATAAGACATATCTCAGCTGATTTACAGGCAAATAAACAAACATACTCAAGAGTGAGAGCTGGATGTGAACGAGACAAGGCTCCGTCACAAAATGACCATTATCGTTGTTTACGCATATGCCCGATGCACGAGTTCCGGTCGAAAAATAAAATAATATTTTAAAGTGTTTCTATTTTTCGACCAATAAAAATGCTTCCTTCCTAATTATACTCGCATCATTTTACGAGCCTGTTAAGCCATAAAAAACACCATAAAAAGGGTCACACGGGGAAGTACAACAGCAGTCAACAGAAGGCCAGGGAAGAGATCGGTCATGGTCGGTCTGAGCAGTCAGCAGCAATAGTGCCACACCAACCCACGAGAACTACTATGAAAGATCAACCCAGGTCGGCAGCTGGCATATGAACCATACCACAAGGTAGCTGTCCCAAACCCACACATTCCTATTGAAATAAATCTATTTTTGCTGTTGTCGTATTTCTTTCTTGCAACCATACACTTGTCTATAACAACATGTTCCTGCCATGTCAGTCCCACTACACCCTCTTAGAATCCAAGCAGCCAGGGTTAATACAATGAATACCAAAAGTAAATGACCCTTTTTGTTGATACTGCTTTTATTAATAGCATGGAGATCCCAATACAACACAGAATGCAACAATACATAAACCATAATCATATAAGTGAAACCAATATGATTTTCAATATAATAATATTATTTACAAAGCTTAAATTTGTTTTACACAAGATTATAAGTTTAGGGCACACAGTGAATATGGAATTCACTACTCAACAGTAATAGTCAATCAGCCTAGTTCACTAAGCCTTAGTATAAGCCTAGTGCATTAATGTGTTGGTTTGTGAATTTGTTTACATAGTAATTGCGAGTTCAATCCCTGGGTTGTGTGGGGCAGACTCATTGGAAACATGGCAAGCAATAACTGAGCAGTAATAAAGAAGTAATTGTGAGTTCAATCTGTGGGTTGGGTAGTACTGACTCAGTTGAAACAGGACAAGCAATAACCAAGTAGTACTAAATAAGAACAAGATATCACTAGACATGGAATGAAAACAATTTACAGAGATAGATTAAATAAAGGGTTCAATTTGAAATTCCTTGAAAGCTACCCTGATCAACAAGCAACTGAAGAAGGGTGGAATGCTCAACAGTTGAAACATTGTGATAATAACAACAAAGATAAGGATAATAGTCCAAATGTAAATAATGATAACTCTTCATCCCAGAAATTCAGACAGAAATTGTATAAGGAAACCAATATGGTTTTCAATGTAGCAGTGTTATTTATGAAATTTAGCTTAAGTTTAGGGCACCCAGTGAGGATCAAACTCACTACACAGTAGTAATGGTCAATCAGCATAATTTACTAACCCTTACTTGTTTAGTACCATCAATTCTATGACCAGGTATGGTTGTAGGGTCGTTACACAGCTGAACACCTGACCAGTTCCTAAAATGAATCAGTTGTTTTGGCACTTGCCATAACAGTAATGGCTAGCTGCTTATATCTGCTAGCCAATCCCTATTGCTCAGACAGATTTGTGTTTGTTCAAAACCCACAGAGCCCACTTGGTTTATACTGCAACTATGCTGAGCAGACCTTAGTTACAGTTTCTGGGAAAAAGTGTACTATCTGGCATGATCAATGGTCTTAACAAGGCCAGTACACTCAAACCCTCAGTCACGATGACTTTGTGCTAGTTCAACCACTGATGGCTCCCATATAGTTCTGTATATGCTTGTAATAGATTTGAATTCCAGTCGAATCTATTACATTCAATATGTGCTAACACCCTTGAGAAGGGTATGAATCCTCTTCTTCTCCCTCACAGCTATAGATAAATAGCAGGACAGTCTGGGTTCTATAGCCTTGGATGGCAACTGGTCTACCGCAGAAAGAAATGGCAACCTACTGCCTCGTCAGTCATGTATCAAAAGATACATGATTGCCTAAGTGTGTATCATGCATAGTACAGTGGTTTAACTATTCCATCTCACAGACCTATTCACAGTTTGATTTTTACTGACCCACAGAACTGTGTCTTTCAGGTGAGAATTGGTGAGACAAAGTTAATTTTATGGTATAAGTTGTTTTTTTCTTTTTACAGTTACATGCCTAATACAGACCCATGAAACATAAACATTTAATTTCTAACAGAAAAAAAACATTTATTGCATTTTTAAATGACTTTCATCAATTTTTGTATTGCAGTTAATCAGTTATCGGCTTACTTCTGTCAGTATCTTAGTTACAAGAGGAGGGGTTATTCGACTGTCAGGATTTGGTTTTCCAGATGATGTAATGGCCAGGAATCTTTACGAAGCTGTAAGTAACAAAACTATTTTATGCATGTTAAGTAAGCTTTCATCTATTTAATTATTTTTATACTCAATAATCCAGTATTGTCCGTATCAATGTTGATAGGGGGAAAATGAGATAACGTACATTTGTTATGGGCTTGTGCCCACATCATGTTGAAATGCAGGTTGACATATGATCACCAAAGTTAAGCAACATCAAGCCTGGTCATTTCCTAGATGGGTGACCACATGGGAATATCAGATGCTGTAAGATTGATTCTGTATCTTGTGTAATGGATAAAGGCTCAGAATTGTTAATCAGAGAGCCAAGTTCTAGTTGGGTTCGTTATAGTCACTTATGTGCTAATATTCTTGAAAAAGGTATGAATAAACCTCACCCCCCCACCAACCAGGTATGGGTTAATTAAGCAAAACTTGTATTGCTAAACCATTGTTATCTCCCTACCCAAATTCTTACATTCTAAAAATATTTTCTGGATTTAGATAACCTGCAAAGAGTTGATAAGTTGTAGAAAACAAATCAATTAACATTATATATGAATAGAGGCTGGTGTTAATAAAATAGTGCATTTTTTAAAATAAAAACTGTAATCACCATATAATATATGGACTGCACCAGCATTGCATTAACCAGATATTTTTATTACAATTTATATATATATATATAATTATTTATTTAAAAATATGATTCCAAATCGCGACATAAGTCGTCCGATGTTTCAAAACAAGAGCCGAAAACTTCAATATATATCTTGTTTTGAAACATCGGACTTCTTATGTCACGATTTGGAATCATATTTTTAAATAAATAATTATATTTATGCTCTACTTTTGTATCGAGCACTATTTTTTAAAAATAACTAAAATACTAAGGGACTTTGGATTATTTACCTAACCAGTTCCTTCCTATTTTCTATATATTTTCACATATTATATATATATATACACACACACACACACATATATGTGCATGTGTGTGCGTGATTATTGCAAATAGTCTGGGCAAATATCTAGATAGAAAGATATAGATTGATACAAATAGTGTAGATGGTCCCTAAATTATCTGTCCTCTGAGGTGCATTTGGTCACTGTATTCTCTATCTTCTAATCTAAAATTAATCAATAATAAACCAAAACCAATTAATAAAAATAAAATCTGTTAATCTCCCCTGAAGTCATAACATTTATTAGAATCAAATATATTGACTTTTTATCACTTTTAAAAGGTCCTGTTCATAATAGAAATAAAAGTCTCCAATTGATCCCTTGCTTCATAAAGAGTTATTTGTACTTTGTTTTTATTTACAAATGTCATGTGTATATCATTGATAACAGCATACTATTATGAATTTAGATAAAGGACAACATCATTAGTATGCAGTTAACAATGGCATAAACAGTTTCAAACTTGACATTCATAAATAAAATCTAAGTACAGATAACTCTTTAATAAATCAGGGGTCATTTTCACACTTTATAAACAGGATCCTTCTTCTAAAATGATTTAAAAAAAAAAAATCAATATTTTTTATTGACAAATTGTTTGGCTTGCGAAAGGTCTAATGAATGTTAATGTCCAAATGAAAGTCTAATGAATGCTAATCTACAAATGAAGGTCTAATGAATGCTAATCTACAAATGAAGGTCTAATGAATGCTAATCTACAAATGAAGGTCTAATGAATGCCAATATACAAATGAAGTTCTAATGAATGCTAATCTACAAAAATTATTCTCCCACAAAAATTTCCCTATTATCCTCAGATAAGGGAATTTAAGTACTGCCAAATGAAGATTGAAGTAAAAAGTGGAATTTATACTCATGTTAAGCAAAATTAAAACCATCTTTCTAATCAAGTTCAATGGACCATAAACGTAGCTATAATAATTGAAAACATTTTCATTGTCAAGTACATTTAGCCCCCAAAATCAGTTATCAATTTGGCTTAAAAGGCTTAATACTAAGAAGATCAGGAGCAGGTGAGGTTTCCCATGATTATAAACAAACCTGGAAGAAGGAAAACCTTGATTTCAAATAAGGAAGTATTGTTGTCTGCAAATACTAAAGAGTACTAGACACTCCATCTTCGGGAACATAATCATCGGTTTGCTACAAAACAATTGTGAAATTTAAATATCAGCAAGTATACAGATTTTATAGGAAGGTTTCTAATGCTGTGTCTTCAAATTTATTCTAACTACTAATTCTATAGTTTTGTGTCTTCCAGACTTCACTTCCTGTTCGATGGATGAGTCCTGAATCCATTCAGGAACGGATCTTTAACCTCCCTGCTGACATTTGGTCTTTTGGTGTCATTTTCTGGGAAATTACACATTTTGGTAAGTATCAAATTATGTTATAATAAATATTATCATATAATTCTGCTATTTCCTTCATTAGTTAACATGTCTGTTAGGCAACTAATTATATAGAAGAAAATTAAATTTGTCATGGGCAATGTATATTTTTTCATTTCATTACATTTTTATAATATATCAAGGTTCATCAACAATTCTTTCATATCTTGTGAATGACTTCATTTGACATAATAAATAGTTACATTTCCTTTCAAATATTTATGCAGGTTGGATACAGTCTTCTTGCTTGCATGTAATAATATTGATGTCAATCACAAGAAAAATACTTTATACTAATTGAACTTAATGAAATTGCTGAAGAAAAGTAAGGCGACATATTTCCACTGGTTGGGGTAACTTGAAGGAAAATAACATAAAATGGTCAGGCAGTGTATATAAAAGGCAAAGAATTCAAACAAAAAATCACATGATAACAAATGTGTAAGAAATGGTCAGGCAGTTTATATAAAAGGCAAAAGAATTCCAACAAGAAATTGCATAACAGATTCCAAGAAATGGTCAGGCAGTGTATATAAAAGGCAAAAGAATTCAAACAAAAAATCACATGATAACAAATGTGTAAGAAATGGTCAGGCAGTTTATAGAAAAGGCAAAAGAATTCCAACAAGAAATTGCATAACAGATTCCAAGAAATGGCCAGGCAGTATATATAAAAGGCAAAGAATTCAAACAAAAAATCACATGATGACAAATGTGTAAGAAATGGTCAGGCAGTGTATATAAAAGGCAAAAGGCAAAATTCCAACAAGAAATTGCATAACAGATTCCAAGAAATGGTCAGGCAGTGTATATAAAAGGCAAAGAATTCCAGCAAGAAATCACACAATAAGAGATGTCTAACAAAAACATATTTTTATATGGAGATGAAATAGGATAGAGAAAAAAAAAGCATGTGATATGCAATATATGACTGTATGGGTATTTAATAAATGCTTATAATTTATCCCCTTAAAATATAAAGATAAGTTAAATTTCAGTTGTAAATTTTCTATGGGTCTAGTGAGTATGTACTTAATATATAAAACAATATAATCATTATGCACCCATATAATGTGGGATGTGTGGTGCAGTGTAATGAATATCAGCTCAAAATGGGAACTCAGAGAGCTGAGTTCAAATCCCAGTTGAGTTTGTTATATTCACTTAAACACAAATGCCCTTGGGTTGTATAGCAGGACAGACTAGGTTCTTTAGCCTTGGTTAGCAACCAGTCTATTGCAAAAAGAAATGGCAACATACTGCAAGAAAAATCTTCTGCCTCATCAGTCATGTATCAAAAGATACATGATCACCCAAGCATGTATTACATGTGGCACGTAACTGACTGACCCATGTAATGGTTTCAAATATTCCATAAAGATTATTATTATCATGTACATTCATACCTCATTTTAACAAATAAAAAGAGGTAAATATCAATCAGATAAAGCCAATTGTCTGTAGGTGCTGACACTACGTCTGTAGTGGCTAATATCAACAATTAGCGACTCCAGATTTTGTCCATTGTTTCCAATATTCATTAAAAAGAGGTCCATAATACTGAGGTATGAGTGTATTATAAATGTATTTAACGATTGCTTAAAAGAAGAAAGTGGGCAACAAACACTGATAAGAATTTGACATTCAAGAAAAAGTTATGTTGCAATTCATCAGAAAACAGATCAATAAAATTGGAATGAAAAAAGAGAATAACTATGTGAAATTTATTTACATTTTTAGAAATCACGTTTCTGTCATTGTCGAATGTCAGTTTGAAATGGGATGAGAAAGGTTAATTTATAATATGTGTGTGTGTCCAAGGGTGATAATTATCATTTCAGTACCTTTGAAATAAGGCTGTAAAAATCTTCTTGTGACAAGGAGAAAGAGGCAGTTGAAGTTTGTACAACATGTAATGAGGAACAAGGGCCTGGAGAATCTGATACTCACAGGTCGAATAGAAGAAAAGAGAGATAGTCTGTTTTAACAAAATTTGTGTGTAAAAAGAGGCTCCTAGCAAAGTCTTCAAAAATTCATAAAGATTGAAAGTCATAAAAAATTACAAGTTACATATTTTTAGATACGGATATAGTAGAGAACTCACCACATAGTTTCAAAAATTGTTTTTGACTAATCAGAAGTGAGATTAAAAAAAAATTCAAGCCTTTTAGAGATTGTAAATTGGTGATGTTTACTCACTGGGGTTACACATTGAAAATGCTACAGACTATGTGTCATCTTTCTTCTTTTTATATGCCGTATCCTTTCATGACGTAGGTGATCATGGCTCTCCACTTCCCTCTATTCCTTGCAACTCCCAACAAGTTCTGTCCCTTTGCCACCTCCACAGACCACATTCTGTTATCCACTTGCTTAAGCCTGCTGGGTATGTATTTTAAAAAAGAAAAAGGGGAAGTAATGTTACAGAATGTGAAGGGCCAGAATTGACAGCGATTGACCAGAGCGACTTGTGTGCAGGGCATTCTGACAGTGATGGATTGTCTTTCTCTGGGTTTTGAATATAAGTCCAAAATGGTGTGGATTCAACAGAGGGTCTAGAGAATTCTGATGCATCAATATGCATCCCACACCCAGGTTTGCAACCAGCTAATACCTCACATGGAGGGACACTGAGCCAACATGTAACATGTTCCTGCCACGTCAGTCCCACGACTGCCTCTTTGAATCCAAGCAGCCAAGGTTAATACAGTGAATACCAAAAGTAAATGACCCTTTTTGTTGATACTGCTTTTATTAATAGCATGGAGATCCCAATACAACACAGAATGCAACAATACATAAACCATAATCATATAAGTGAAACCAATATGATTTTCAATATAATAATATTATTTACAAAGCTTAAATTTGTTTTACACAAGGTTATAAGTTTCTGCCACCTCCACAGACCACATTCTGTTATCCACTTGCTTAAGCCTGCTGGGTATGTCATGCGTTGTTTTCCCTTGTTGGTTGGTTGATTTCATAACATGTTAACCCCTGTTATTTATTTGGTGTAGTGTCACTTCCATTTTTTTTCTTATTGACAGAAAAGCCATTGTTACAAGACTTCTTGGTTGGATATTATATTGATATTTCTCAAGTTCAGAAAACTATTCATTTTGTCTGTATTCTATTTTTCTTGCTTCAAAATCCTGATTGATTATTCTTCAATTATCTAAAGAAGTTGGGAAAAAGAAATCAACTATTCAAAACTGAAATAATTTTTTTCTTTTGTTTAAATATTGGAAAAATTAGCTTCATTTTCAGGTGCTTAAATGTTTTGTATTAGTTAACAAAGAGAAAAGAAATTAATTTGTTTTGATCTTCAGGCTGCTGAGAAATAATTAAAACTTGCTTTATCCCCAACTTATGCAAGATCCATTAGAGTTCATTATGAATACCATGATTGGGAAGATTTCTCAAAATAATGGATCAAAGATGGAGTTTGCAATTAATTGCTTTTCTTGCTTGTGAGACACAAGGCTTATTTCCAATAGGGCCACTAATTATAGAAATATATGAGAAATTAGTGTCCTTGTCTGCAAACGAGGTCAATCTTTTGTGATTGAGATTCTAGTTCAAATTAGAGATGAAGGTTTTGCATTAATAACAGGGCGAGCCAATGCCAAGATGAATTGTAATGAGAAGGGAATAAATCCAAAATGGCTTCTCTTGAGAATTTCTCATGTATAGCAAGCTGCTGAAAAATTCTCAGCTTGATCCATTTTCAACATAATCTCCTTCTTCATCAATGTACTTAACCCATTAATCCCCACTGTGAAATCCAGCATTAATTATAAAAATCCACTATTGTGATAATAAAAATCCAGTATTAATTATGAAAATTAAAATAAAAAATCCAACATTTATTCATGAAAAAAAAACTATAAATTAATAAAAGAAATCTATAATTAACACAGGATTTTGAAAAAAAATCCAGCATTAATTGCAGATTTATAAAAAAATCCAATATTATAATTTTCTGCCTCTAACTCCTTAATCTCCACTAGCCTATATTTTTTTAATGTTTGTGGACTGGCCATACAGATTTACAAATGAAGAACTGTACAAAATAACAGAAACCACATCACTTGAGGACTATCACCAGCAGTAAGAACTAAAATGGATAGCACATGTAACTCAAAGTGAAAATAATGACATAATCCAGATGTTGACATTCCACATTGCATCAAATCAAATTAATACTGGAAAGAGCAATAAAAGTTTCTGAACTTGAGAAACCTATTTTCCTGAAAAATTGTTTTAAGAAAAAGGTTTTATATATTTCAACTAAAAGTAGTACAGGCTGCTTGGCTAATGAAGGCTAAATATTTCTGATAAGAATATAGGTCTGGTTTCAAATATCACTAGTTCCTTTAGGTAAGTCAAAGTTCAAATGCCAAGAGAGAAATCACAGCAGTATCTAGTATCTCATGGCCCAATCCACCCTGGCCAGGAGGGGACACAAGTCTATGCTCCAACTGCTGCCACTGCTGATAGGAACAGTCCATTAAGTTATGGAGGGGAGATAACTGGTTATAACAGCTATAATAAACAATAGTTAACAATCTAATTCCTTTTCTTATTTAAAACTAGCAGCATGGCCCGGCGTTGCCTGTACTTGATTCAAAAATTGTATGACATACAGCAATTGCTATCACTTGACTTAAAATATTTTTGCCCTTCCTTGCCTTTAAAGGAGTGCCCTTTGCTGTGCTGATGTTGCTGCATGCCTTACTTCTTGTCTATCTCACACTGCAAATTTTTTCTAAGCTCTATACTAAACATTAAATCTGTTGCAAAAAAAGAACTAAACAAAATGAACACAAAACAATCAGCTTTTTAAAAAAGGACTCAGAACTGGAAAAACCGAATGAAAAAGAACGTTAACAACAAATACTTTTTCACACCCAACCCAGTTCTGCAGAATCAGAATCAATGTTGAGTTTAAGCAAGCGAATGAGCCAATTGGAGTAAAGTGCCATGCAGATTTAAATTTTTCCCACTTTTGATGAATGCAGCTATTGATTTTTTTTGCATGCTAGTTAACATTCGTATCAGTCAGCTCTTGGCTCTCACGCTGGCCAATAGAAAATGGCTGCAAACTACATGAAAACTGCCCTAGAAGCATGAAAAAATCGATTATTTCCACTATCGATGGAAGTTGGAAAATGCAAAATTGGCCTTGGCCTTCCTGCTAACGTGGAGCATGTGCATGTAAATTTTGGTGCAAATCCATCGAAAATTGTGGCCATGCATTCGTTACACACACACACACACACCCTGCCTTTTATAGATAGAGATTAAACATTATTCAGTCCTCTTTGCATTATCCAGAAAGTGTAGTAAGGTGAGGCACCTCTTTTAGTTAGACAGAAATTTGATCATTAGACTTCACCCATGTTATTGAACAGATTTTTCCCTTATCTAACATTTCCTTGATAATTCCCATTTCTATTCTTAATCTTTTATCTGCAACAAGTTTAGTTGATTTGATTGCTTTGACCAAATCACTGTTATCTACAAAACACTTGATAGGAAACAACTCACCTATAGGAAAACAGCTAATATTACCATTACTCTTCATAAATAAATCAGGTGTGCAGATTATGGTGATAGTTAATGAACTTATCTTTAAGATTTTTGTGGGAGTGAGTAATCATCGATAGACACTGTGCTAATGAAAAACATTCCTAATGGTTGGTCAAATCATTGAGGCAATAAAAAGAAGAAAATCATTGTTTCAGTAGATCGATTCTTTGTCTTCAGTTGTACAAAGGTACCTTCTGGAATTTCAAGAAGTATCAACATTCCAAGAATTATTCAGGCTGTTGATTTTATTCTTTCTGTTGGTACTATGTTTCAGCTGATGAATTTTAGAGAAGTGATGCTTCTTTTCATAATAACCATAGATATGAAGAATTGTAATAACATCAAAAATAAAAAAAAATAAAATCAGTCATCTGAACAATAATTGGAAAATGAAGATAAATTAACCTATTTATAAACAGTAAATATCATTTTTAGAAAGAGAGAGTTTGTATATTTGATGTAAACAATTGTATTCCATTTCTAAAGGTCCCAGACAAAGTCATATATTTAATGTTCCCAAGACAATCTCCTATATTAAATATACAAATTTGTATTTGTTTATAATATACGACATCGTCTTGTGAGCTTTAGAAACAGAATACAAATTTGTATATTTAATGTAGTAGATTATATTTAAATTCTAAAGTTCCAGGGACAATACATTAAATATACGACTTTGTATTCACTTTCTAAGGCACCTGGGACAAATCCATAATGTAAGAGATTGTTCTGGGAGCTTTAGAAACAAAATACAATCTCCTACATTAAATACACGACTTTGCCCTGGGAACTTTAGAAACAAGATACAATCTCCTACATTAAATACACGACTTTACATTAAAATACAACTTTTAGAAACAAGATACAATCTCCCTACATTAAATACACGACTTTGCCCTGGGAACTTTAGAAACAAGATACAATCTCCTACATTAAATACACGACTTTGCCCTGGGAACTTTAGAAACAAGATACAATCTCCTACATTAAATACACGACTTTGCCCTGGGAACTTTAGAAACAAGATACAATCTCCTACATTAAATACACGACTTTGCCCTGGGAACTTTAGAAACAAAATACAATCTCCTACATTAAATACACGACTTTGCCCTGGGAACTTTAGAAACAAGATACAATCTCCTACATTAAATACACAACTTTGTATTCTGTTTCTAAAGCTCACAAGACAAAGTCATCTCAATTTAGTACTTTGCTGGAAAGAGGTAGGCTGGTACTTAAAATGATCAGATGATTTGCCTGAGTTCTTAAAGCCTGAAACTATAGGAGCCTGGTCATTTACAATGGACCTACCTGAGAGAAAGAACTTTAAGGAAGAGGGTGTAAAGGAAATAGCCGAAAGGTTGTAAGTTGTGAATTAATTTTTTTCAAACATGAGTTACTCTAGAAATCCATGTTATATTCTTCTTGTAGGTCTGACTCCTTACCCGACAATGGGACCCCAGGAAGTTTGTGAAAAAGTTGTGGCTGGCTACAGGATGCCACAACCTCCACAGTGCAGTGCAGAATTGTAAGTTTTCATTATTTTTTCCATTAAATTAAACATTATTCAGTCCTCTCTGCATTATTCAGACAGTGTAGTAAGGTGAGGCACCTCTTTTAGTTAGACAGAAATTTGATCATTAGACTTCACCCATGTTATTGAACAGATTTCTCCCTTATTTAACATTTCCTTGATAATTCCCATTTCTATTCTTAATCTTTTATCTGCAACAAGTTTAGTTGATTTGATTGCTTTAACCAAATCACTGTTATCTACAAAACACTTGATAGGAAACAACTCACCTATAGGAAAACAGCTAATATTACCATTACTCTTCATAAATAAATCAGGTGTGCAGATTATGGTGATAGTTAATGAACTTATCTTTAAGGTTTTTGTGGGAGTGAGTAATCATCGATAGACACAGTGCTAATGAAAAACATTCCTAATGGTTGGTCAAATTATTACCCAACATCACAAACAGCTCGAAAACTGAGAACTCGAATCATGTTTTTAAATAGTCTCCTCAGATCAAGACATTCATATAGATGCATATAACCAAATCCTCTCAGATATACCTGTCAGCTGTATACAACCACTTTCTCAGCTCAGTTAAAAATGGCTTTGAACAAGTGAAATCTGTGAGTCTTGACAAATATCATCTTTTGAACATTGTGGACTGGTGCTACAGAATCACAAAGAATTGTACCAAATAACAGAAACCACATCACTTGTGGACTTTTTAGTGTATGCACATATTTCAGTGGAAATGCTTATTTCTCTATTTATTTATTAAACAGTATATATATTTTTGTCTACTGGCCTGAATATTCAAGAAATGTTATTAAAAAAAATGCACTCTCTGGCAGAATTTTAAAAAAATGCACTCTCTGCAGAATTCAAACCTGCATCTGCCTTTTTTGAGTGAACAGTTGTTAGATCTGACATGCTTTAAACCAGCTAGGCTATGAAGAACTTTTGCTGATCAATAATTTATTGTGATTTCTCAAATATTCAGACCAGTAGGCAAAAATAAATAATAATATAATATGTGTATCCACTCAAATAAGGTTTAATGTCATAAAATTTACTGTATTAATAAATAAAAATTCCATTACTTCTTTAGAAATTACTTTGTTTACATTTGGATACAAAACTGAGCAAATATATTTAGTTAATATTTATAAAAAATGCACAAACACATTTCCAGAAAATACAAGCTTAAACTGAAAATAGACTCATATTAAAAAATGAAAATTATGAACCAATACAAATCCACTGGATTATTTTTGAGAAAGAAGAACATATTGACTCTAGGGATGACATCAAACATGACGAAGACATGGATGTTGCAACAGATTTATTTATCTTTCATGCAGATGGCAGACTAAAATGAGATTACGATCTATATTCATAATTTTTTTTTTTTTTAAATACAAATGCAGTGTTTAGTTAGTGATTTAGTTACACATTAGTTAATTTGAACTATAGTTATAACTTACTATTGATAATACAATTTCAAATATGATGATGCACATAGCAGGGAAAAAAGCTTAGGAAGGAAACTTCCACTAATAATGGAAAGAGCTATAACAGCTACTGGACTCAAGAAACCCATTTCCTGAAAAATTGTTTCAAGAGAAAGATTTTATAAATTTCAATGAAAAGTAGGACTGGCTGTTCGGTTAATGAATGCTTAATGTTTCCTTACAAGGAAACGACTATAACAAATATTATTATTCCTCTTTGTGTGAACATTTGACAGAGAGAGGACAAACATATGAGGTACATTATACAATAGTTTATGCTGCTCCTCTTGCCTTCAATATATCCAGTGAGTGTTAAATTCTCCAAGCCCTTTTTCTTCATTATGTATCTTAGAAATTTCAACTACGTCTTTTTAATTCCCATTTTCTCTAAAATTTCCTTGTTACTCACATATTCAGTGCATAGTAATCTCAGCATATTGCCTTGCTTTATTGGAAAAGATAATAGAGTGGTTTACTGTTGTCTACTCTATGGTTTGGAATTTAGAGTTTTCCTTCTCTTAGATGGGTTGCCACTGAAGGCTAGAGAGGTCAGTCTACCTTGCTATTTAACTCATAGCTGGGGAAGACAAAACAAATTCAAAACATCCCAGGTAAGACAATAAACTACATCCAATAGCAAGGCATCTTATCAGGAGGTTTTGAGGAGCATGGAACCACTTTTTAATTGCTGGTGTTCCCAGGTCCACCCTGACCTGGCATGGTAGCATGTGCTAGGGTCCCAAATATGGGCAAATAGTTAACCCCAAACTGGGCTCAAAACACTATGAAAGTGTAAAAATAGGTTTTAAAACCAACAATACATTTTTGGAAAAAAATATTAGCAGCAATAAAAATCATGTTGGCATTAAATAACCCATTGAGTTTTATATGCCATAAAATAAACCAAACCAAACTCATACATTTCGCAAAGGCATTTATGTGAAAGTGAATGCAATAGACTAGCCTAGAATTTGAACTTAGCCTGCTGATTCACTTTATGTACCTACATTTTTTCTTATAATCAAGTAAAATTTATTCTGTTAAACTGACGCCCATTTCAAAAGGAATTATAAGTTTTACCAAAATTTCTACTTAAGAGGTAATCATAATTTTTCCACTGTTCTGAACAAAATCTAATTTGAATGTCTGAAATACAATAACCAGGTTTTAGAAGAAAGATATACCTGCATAAAAATATTCAACAACTATAACAGTTTTATTCATCCTAACAAAAAACAGTTTATTCCATTTGTTTCAGTTGGTAATCCATTAATCTACCAAATCCACTGAATTAAAATTAGATTTATATAGTCCTATACCAATCAAGGACTTAATGTCACTTCTATTTCGTTAATGGTAATATTAGCTGTTTTCTTATGAGAAAATGTTTGGCATTCATTGACATGGTTCTCACAAATGTAAAGATTATATATATATATATATATATATATATATATATTAATTTTAAACTTGATAGAGATTAAATTTAGATTTTAAAATTGGTAATTTTTTACTTTTAATATCAAATTTTATCATATAATTTAATACTTATTGGTTAGAATAAATTCTATTTTAGTATAACCCCAACTTTAAAGCTCTTAATACCAATATAACCTTACTTCATTGTCAAGTTTTTTTTAATTCTCCTATACTTGTGTTTTCATTGGTCATTCTAGCTTTTGAAAAAGTGTTTTCCCCTCATGAAAGATCGTTTATTAATTTGAAACTTTTAAAACCATTTATTTTACATTCAACATCATCACTTGATAAGACACCAGAGGTGTTGAAACAAAATGGCTATTTTTGTAGTGATTTTATAACATATTTATGTTATAATTTTTAAATAAATAATTATATATATATGTGTGTGTGTGTGTGTGTGTGTGTGTGTGTGTGTGTGTAATAATTAAATATGAAGTAGCATTGGTTGATGATAAGACAGCAGATTTTTACTTTTTTTTACTTTAGCTGTTGGTAGAGAGAGAGAGAGAGCGAGAGAGCGAGCAAGCAACCAAGCTTAATCTTTGATTGTGTTAGATGAAACGTTGATGTAGAGAGATTTTATATCTAGGCTGGCCATGTGTTTGTCAGTCATGTTCATTTCCTTTTAAGGGAAATGAACATGGCATCTAACACAATCAAAGATAAAGCTCTCTCACCCAACAGCTAAAATATAAAAATCTTCCATCTCATCACCAATGCTACTTCATATATATATATATATATATATATATGTATGTGTGTGTGTGTGTGTGTGTATATATATATATATGTGTATATATATATATATATATATATATATGTATGTATGTATGTATGTTATCTTTAACACACTGCATTATTCACTACATTCCTTTCCACTGCATTATTTTTCAAGGCACCTATACTGCACTAATTAATTTCAGCCATAGTCATTTTCTGTTGCCATAGCAGGATATGACAACACAACTGCAAAATTCAAACATACTATCATTTATTCATCTGAGTTACTTGCAGTGTCAGAATAAATTTTTTCTTTGCAAGCAAAATCACCTTCAGAATGTTGAAGGTCAAACAGATGATAAAAAAGTCAAAAGAACTTACCTTAGTGACCAACTTTAAATTTTGCATATAAATCACTCATCAAGGTTAGATAAATCTATTGAATTCTTTAGCAGATATTGTATTTATACAGGGTGTTGCAGAAATACCTTCCACCTAATGGTAAGTGGTAATTGTGTTTTCATTGAGCTACTGTCTTACTATTATCTGGGAGGTATTTCTGCCACACCCTGTAAAGCCTATATAAAAAAAATGTAGTTATATACTCCAAATAAATTTTAAAGTTGTTCTGTCATAAAAAATGCTGTCACAAGACTACAGTGAAATGTTCAAAAGTGTTATACCATGAAAACATTAACATTAAAATAAACATTACCACATTTTTTTATCATAGAACAATTTAAAAATTTGTTTGCAGTCTATAACTCGCATTTTTAATGTAGTATATACAAATATATCATTTCATGAATTTAAGAAATTAATTTGACCCTGATTAATGGTGAATGGATGAAACAAAGTTGGTTGCAAAATAAGTTATTTGAACTTTTCTTCATTTATTGACTATCATTGCTCTAGTTTTCATATTGACTACTTTCTTTACAAAAATCTACTCGCCTTTAAATGTGTTAAATTATAGTAATTTTACATTTTTGATTAGATCCTGACATGAAGTAGAAAGACTTCCCCAGAACTGTTACCTTGTAGAACAAACTCCCAAGATAATGCTTCATTGACAACCACAATCTTGGTCTTTAAGTCCAGGCTCAACCGATATCTATCTTTACTTATTCTCATAATACTCTGACTTACTCCTCTCTTACAATTTCACCCAGTAGCCCTCTACTTTGAGTGGCCATTGAGACTTATATTGGATGAACTATCAATAAAGAAAAACAAAAAAAAAAGGATTTATGCATTTTCCAAAGACAGTGTGAAATTGAATGCTACTAACTAGGTTGGGATTTGAACCTGGTTCACTGGTTCCACTTTCTGCACTGATGTCTATTATGCTACCCACAGTGAAATAAAAATGGTTCCAAAACAAAAGCCTCAAGGATAGTTTTTTAGAGAATGTTTACTACAATATTTATGCCAAACTTCTGCACAGATATAAGATCTGTCTGGAAAAAATTCCATTATTTATTATTAACACAAAAAGGCAGTGTCCTGACACTAATGGCAACTTATTTGCAGTCAAAGTACTTCCCTTGAGACATAACATTTCCACTTTCCAAAACAGTCTGCAAAGTTCTCTTTCAGGATTGCCATCAGCTACCTTAATAGGTTCTCCTTAATCTCATCCACAGTCTGAAGTCTCCTTCCTTTCAACAGTACTTTACATTTTGGGAAAAGCCACAAACAAGTTACAATGCCAAATCTGGACTGCAACAGGCTGAACAGAGTGATGGAATGTTTTAAGAAAAACAAGTCAGGTCCCCTAGACTCCTTGAGAAGCATGGGGCCACAGCTCTCATCTCTCATAGACTCACTAAGGAGTATGGGGCAACAGCTATCAAGACCCCTGAGGAACATGGGGTAACAGCTCTTAACACACTAGGCATTACTGCTATAGATTCCATAGCAAGTGGTAGCTTTTTACAGAATGGAATTGTAAGCTCCATGTCCAAAAGATTTGAATTCAAAATTGTCCTCCTCCTAGACTGGTTACCAACCATGGCTAAAAATCCACGTCTGTCTTACTATTTAAGCCATAGCTGGGAGAAAAGCGGTCAAGTAATACTTTTCCCAAGTGTATTTGTGTGTAAGTGAATGTAATGGACATGACTGGAATCTGAACTCAGCTTTCCAATTTCTCATTCCAAGATATTATCCATTGCACCACTTGTACATCCACTCTCACAGATTAGATGTTCTATATTTATGGCCTTGTGCCAAGTGTTTCACCAAAGATTATTAGTTAATGAGTTACTCAAGCAGACATTAGTGAGTTCAATTCTTACTAGGTGTCCCATATTTTGTCAATCTGTATTAAGCTTATTAATTTATAATTTGTGTTTTCAGCTTCCATTCTATTTTGAACGTACAATGGGTATTTCATATTATTGTGCACACTGAATGAGAATCAAAACACAACGTGGGATGACTTGTCCAGTTGGCAAAAGGACAGTGACAGAGAGCACCAGGTGTATATTTATATATTTAAGATAATAAATGCCGAATTCTTTCTTTCTTCTTTCAGGTATGGATTGCTACTCTCTTGCTGGCAGTCCCACCCAGCCAACCGGCCATCTTTGGAAGAACTGCATCATTTGATGAAGAATATGTCACGAGTGTACTCAGACCACATCCTTTTTGAGAAGATGCCAGAGTACCAACGATCCTCTCCTTATGACCAACTCGACAGTGATTTGTAAACATTATTTCAAAGAGCAACTTCATGACAAAGCAACACTTTATTGCTAAGAGTTGAATTCATACTGCCCACTTAGTGGGGAACAAAGACAATGTATAATTGAGTGAATTTGTGTTGTGGTTTCTCTGCCACTGGAAAATCTATGTTTGTTTTGCCCACTGCATAACACTTCCATTTTGTTAGACCAACACCAAGTTATTTGAAGGGGGTAAGAAGTTGAAAAAGAAAAAGAAGCATAGCACACATTAGAGCAACTTAGATCAACCTTATTATATGTACTAACCAGAATATTGTAAATTTTTCAGTTTTATGAATAGAATAGAAATCCCAATCTTGAAAACTTATTAAGGTTTCCATGAATAATTCTTCATCTAGTTTCTTTCTTTTCCAATCATTTGTGTATTTTCTCAATGAATGCTTAAAATACAACCCATGAAACTTTGAATTTCTGGCATAAGGAATTATCATTATTTATACAATTTACATTGAAACTTTTTTCCTCATTTTTACTGTTATCACGTTTCAACCAATGTACCCTTCATCAGGTCCATATTGATCTGGGTAACAAACAGACCCATTTAATCTACAGGAGTAGACTGTTTTTATTTTTAGTAAGATCTTGATGAGATATCCTTAGATTTGAGCAATAGACTATTCCGATAAATTAAATAAAGGGTTCAATTTGGAATTCCTTACAGGTTACCCAGATCAATATACATCTGATGAAGTCCAGCTGAAACATTGTGATAACAACAAAGATGAGGACAATAGTTAAAATGTAAATAGTGTAAATAATATATGTCTTATATTCAATATTACTTACATAAAAATTTATATATTCAATATTACTACTGTCTAAATTGTAAAGGTATAAAAAAAAGTCAATTTTTTTACATAATTTTAATCTTTTGTTTCCTTTCATTTTGCTCTCTTCCCCCATGTTGAATAAAAATGGTCAGAGAGAGAGAGAAACAGGCACTGGTCAGTTTAGAATGATTGATGTTAAATTATTTCTCTTAATTAAATGGGAACAAACAACAGTAAATTATTAAAATAACCTAGTTTTTAATGTTTCTTTTCTGCTCTATAAAGACTGAAACAAATATATACACACATGATTTTACACCTTAATTTTTTGGCATTCACTATTATTTAATGTACAAATGGACAGTCCAAGTGGTGTTTTTCTATGATGGTTGTGTAGTGCCTTAAAATATCTGCTTCAAATTGAAGATGATACTGACCACTGAATGAGCTGACTGATAAGTAACTGTCCATGAAAGAATTCTATTTATCTATAGTATGTAATTTATAAGATCTCAGGTGAAAAGGCATCTAAAATGGAAAGGAAGCTAACCCCATTAAAATTCAACAAATGCCTAACTCCTCCTCTTGTAAAAAATGTCACAATATCAAATTTTTCAATTTGCATAAAATTGGCTAAAGTTTAACCTTCATGCCTGCAAAGAAAAAAAAAGTCAAAAGGGTGTTTATTCTCTTAACATAGTCAAAATTGTATACAGTAATAACTCTCTTGGTAACGTTTGTTGAGAAGATTATAAAAATATACGAACTAAGTACAGTGAATATTTATTAATTACCATTTTGTAAAGAAATGAATTTGAGAAGAAATCTTTTGTTTAAAATTTATAAGAAATTACAAAATTGTCAAAATATGCAAACCAAGTAAAATGCAATATTTATTATTGACTATTTTATAAATAACTATGAAAACAAGTATTTTATTCATAATTTATAAGAATATCATGTATAGAACAAGAAAATTTGAATAAATATAGCATTTTCTGGGCATAATACATTTTCTTCTAAAATTACTTCTTGCTTAAATTTTTCAATTTTCTTTATATTCATGATCTGATCAAGAATGCCTTATGAATAGAAATTCAACTCCAGGTTACCTCCCTTCCCTACTCTTTTTGTTTGAAAAACAATTTTGAAAGTTTTAAACTGTTATTTTTTTTAATTCCTAGAAATTCTACTGACAGATTAAATAAGCAATCTAATAAACAGTGTTTAATATCTTTGTTGTCAATTCTCAAGATTAAAGAAAATGCATAAATCCACTTTCATATATTTGGGTTTTATTAAAATTCTAATTGTTTTTTAAAAGCAATAAGCACTGCAGAAGGAGTGAAGGGAATTTACAGTAATTGTGGTGTCAAGGGGGGGGGGAATCATCCTTTTGATGCACTTTTTCTTTTTGCAGACATAAAGGTTAAACATTGCCAATTATTGTTTCTGAATGCTCATTAACCATTACCAAATGTGGTAATAGTTAGTGAGCTAATAATCTGGCTGATCATTACAGTTCGATCCTCACTGAGTGCCCCATAATTGTGGCCTTGTGTCAATCTAAGCTTTACTATTGTTTTTTTTAGTGTTGTCTGTTGTTACCCTTTAGCAATTCATTCATATTCATCTTTGTGTCGTGTTTCCTTGTTGTTCTTATGACATTCGATTTCAGTTCATTCTGACATTTTAAATCTCATCTTACATAAAAAAAAAAAGCTGGTGAGGACAATCATCGTTTCATGCTGAACAATTTCAGCCACTCAACATTAACATCTTTCTCTCTATTTTCATTAACTTGCAATTGTTTTTAGATAAAAAAAAAAAAAAAAAAAAATCAACAAATATGTCCCCAGACCCCACCAAAATAATGGTTAATGAGTGTATTTCTAAAGAATAATGCTTTTAAGACAAGCAGTCTTTGTAATTAAAGTACTCAATATTAAAAAATGAAGCTTAACTAGCAAGCAAACAAAATAAAATTTATCTTCTCAACTTTGCAAAAATAGTATCTGTTGATCAGAGTAATTTTTTTTTCTATTTAATCTCCAGATGAGCAGATACCATTTCTGTGAAACTGAGTCAAGAAAATAAGTTGAACATTTAATTTTATGTTTTGCTAAATATACATATATATATATGTATTGTCAGTCTTTTAAAAACGTAAAATATTCTTATTTCGAGAATCAGTTACCATATTTGACAGTGTATAAGACGCACCCCAATTTCATCAGGACAAATCAAGAAAAAATTAGTAAAATTATTAGTAAATGGTACAGCCTAGGCTATATTTATGAGGTATTATTTTAGTTAAACAAGCCATAATTACAATTAAATGAAAAATAATAGGAAAAAAAGAATATGAGCCTATAAAAACTATCATATCCAAAGGTAAGAAAACAAAATAAAAATCAAGCAATTATTACAATTGAGCAAAACAGTACAATTACTATTAAAATTCAGTTAAAAATTTTCCTTTATATGATCGGTACAACCTGCATCTTGTAAATGTCTTAGTGGAAAAATCAGGATATAAAAATTCTGATTGTATTTATACCAATGCAACCGGGAGTTATTGCAAGAAAAATATTAATGAAACAAATATATTTTACAAATATATAATTTGAGTTTATTGCATATAATTTTAGTGAAACAAAGTACTAATATTAAACATGATGAAATTAATATAATGAATATTATCAATGATAACACTTAATTTTCATAATAGCCTTTTAAATAATGACAATAAGGATATAAAAGTTACTCTAAAGCCTAAGCTAATAGGAGTTGCCAGGTAGTTAATTTCGACTATTACGAATTTTAAACCAATGGCATATAAAATTCAAGATATTTTTAGAAAAAAAACGTGTGTCTTATATGCCGTCAAATACAGTAATTTGAAACAGCTTTCTATCATACTTTAATTGTTTGTATCTATAAATATGACTCACTGGAGTACCTTACTTGATTTGTCAATGTAAAATTATATTATTCATGAGGTGTGAAAAAAATTACTTACCTTCTTAATATTCTTGGCACATTTTCTTATATATATTCTGTATATATACATATATATTTTGCTTCTGTCAAATGGTTGCTGTCTAGAATGAAAGAATCTTTTTTCTTTTATTAATAAACTTCTATGTCAGGAATTGAACTGTAGACTTTAAAACATTTAATCATCCCGGCTAAGTGAACAGTATGTTTCTAAAAAGTTTTTTTTATAAAATTGTAATTGCACTGTGTCATCAGCGCCAATGGAAATAGTAATATCTGCCAGAAAATTTATTCAATATTAAAAGAACTGTATTGGAATTTATCATTATCTTTTCAGAGTGAGGCAAACATAATTTTGATGAAAAATAATTTTTTTGCAACAGATATAATACCTCTATAAGCCAGGCATATATAATCAGTAGACATGAAAATTCATTTTTCTCTAAACCACAAAAATTATAAAAACATCTTAGTAATATTGGACATGTTTAATATTGTATCATTAAAAAGAAGAATTAGACAAAAATAATCTGATACAGAAATGTAGCAACTATTATGGGATAGTATTTGCTACATTATATATATATATATATATATATATATATATATATAAAACAACTATGTAATTTTGAAATAGTTTTCTGTTGTCCATTATTACACCATATGTCAACAGTTAAGTTTAAATTTGTAAATAAAAAGTAATTAAAAAATTAATGAAAAAAATAAAACAATAATGAACAAAATCATTAAGTATTTTACTGGATTTTGAAAAAATATTAATCATCTTCAGCATTTACCTTGTAATTAAAAAAATACATTCATTTTCAGCAGGTATCGGTTTTCCTATCAGTAGTCTCAAAAAAAAAAAAAAAAAGTAAATAAATAAATAAAAATAAAAATATAAAAGAAAAAAACTCCTTCAATATAATTGCTCAAAATATTTTTACCTATTTATAACAAACTGTTTTTTTTCAGTTTTCTATATCCCACAGTAGACTGTTAAACTAAAAAAATATTCCTTCTATTATTGAAGGGAACTCACAAATAATCCAATCTGCAAAAATAAAAGTTAATTTGTGTATACTGTATGCCAACACAATAGCACTCTGTAGACAACTTGTACATACACACCAAACCTGTTAGTATATATTGGTAGGTATACTCACCAACATATATTGTACAATACAATCACAG